TATGAGGCTGGGAACAACTTATCCCCCCCCCCTTTCATAAATTTCTGGATCCGCCTCTGATTTTTTTGACTGAAAATGAAAATACTGTATTACCTTCAAAATCATTATTCAAAAAGACACAATCAAGTTATTGCAATTCACAAATGTACATTGATTTTTTACGTACAAAGGAACGATACGCACCCGCAGGGTTCTGGTTATTTATCTGCAGCTTATTTAATATAAACCACAATGTCCGTCGAAATTAAATCTCTTTACACCTGTATTCTCAAAACGAACTGTAGTCGAACTTTTAACTAAAACTTCATCTAGTCCCAGTTGCAACTCAACTTTGTATTTATAAACAACGTAGACGGCTGGCAATCAACGACTACCAAACTAACAGTGAAAAGAGCTAATTTTAATAGCAGACCAAATTTTAGAGATCCGGTAACGCGGATAAATATTAAGCCGCCGTCTCTCGTTTTAAGAACACTGGGTTGTAGTTTTATTTTGTGTATTATGCAAATGTTGTCAGACTATACTCCCCGCTTTATATATCATGTGTTTTCACAGTTGTTAAATTTAATTCTTGTGTCCTTTTATTTGATATATTATTTTTAAAAATCTTAAATGATATCGACAGGGCGTCATATATACGTCAACTAATGCAAACAGAAAATATCAGCGACGGAATGTAAATGTAGAAATGTTTTACATTAAACCTCATAACACACTGCTGATATATAATATTAAATGATAATGTAAAAGACTTACAGTAGGCCTATACAAATTAGGTCTTAGATTGTAAATAGACGTCGAAGGATTACTAAACGAACCACAAGAAATGTTAAAATGTTATTGATTGTTTTGAGTTTTAATGTATATTTAGCCATTTTAATGTAGGCCTATTATACTTATATGGAACTAATGTTTTTGAATGACTTGAAAATGTACCCGCTGCTATTTTCATATTGGACGAATAAATTTGAATCTGAATGTAAGTAATTAGGGGATCATCATATTTTATAAATGATAAATTCCAGATATACAATGAAGAAGGTGACATTCAAACAAGCAAAACTACAACTACGTGTAGAATGTTTACAGAATATTCACAGGACGTGTTAAAAAAGTGTAGGATATTTTAAGTCAAAAACACACGGTAAATCTATCTACTTGATTGTTCATTGCAATAACCAAATTCGTAGTTTTAACTGTGCATGCCCGTATCCAAGCTCAATCTATAAATTATGTTGTGCATATATTTATGTCGATTGACCTTAAAGCGAGAATGCGCAGTTCAAATACGAATTGGCCTATTGGTTGCCCTGTCTTGTTGCATTCCCTATAGAACTGCGTCGGCAGACGACAGTCGGTACAGTATGTGCCCGGCTTTGGAATGAGGAAACACGAAAACAAGCTTACCTATGCAGTTGTATCCATCTCCTATGAAACCAGTTCGACATTCACACATATACGACCCAATGACATTGAAACATGTGGCTTGCTCATGACAACCATTGTTAATGAAACATTCGTTTATATCTTTAAAAATGAACAACAAAATAAGAATTTCAGATCAGTGTTATAATGACTGAAAACTGGCTTAGCAGCTATACGGACACATATTAGGTCGAAAAGCAGAAAAGACACAAAAATATATGATTAGATAGCCTGTCAGTTATCTTATGCCTTGTAATCTAATACTTCGTCAGTTGTATTTAGAACTTTTATTAAGTTTTTACCTTCACAGATTAAACCATCACCCACGTAACCATCGTTGCACGTACAAGTGTAAGACCCGGCTGTATAGTTACATTCAGCATTGCTACTACAGATGTTCATTCGTCAGTTGTATTTAGAACTTTTATTAAGTTTTTACCTTCACAGATTAAACCATCACCCACGTAACCATCGTTGCACGTACAAGTGTAAGACCCGGCTGTATAGTTACATTCAGCATTGCTACTACAGATGTTCATTTCCACGCTGACACATTCATTAATATCTGAAGAAAAGATGAATTTTAAGAGTTAGTATCTTAAATAAAAACAAATGTAATAGGCCTACCCATAGAATATGCTAATTTTGAAGTTTAATTATGGGCACTGCAAGCGTACTCCAATATGTGGTTCTACAGTGGTTATATATTGTAGATATATTTTAAATTAAACAAATATGAAAACAAATTTTTTAAATTACATTATAATGGCAAAACGGTAAAGCAAACACTAGAGTATAGTATAATATCTAGTGTAAGTAATACGCAGGTAAGCAAGACAAAACTTGTAAACGTAATAGTATTCTGTGAATGCACATGTCATCCCCACATAAAAAAAATGGAGCAGATCTGAATAGAAAACATTGTTGTTTATTGAACAACTAAAGATTGATTCACACTATCTATTTTCAAGTGGCAAAACTGTGTGATTTTCCCATATAGGCACAGTTTTGTCATTATCACACTCATATACAGTATAGGCAAGTAATAGGGATGTGCCCCTTAAAACCTACATACATTTCCTATTATTTTCGTATTATATTTGATTTATCATGTTAAAATAGTTAATACATATTACACATTATATAATCGCTATGGATATTATTCTACCGATTTTATGAAAGTCAGAGGTGTTGATAGGTGGAGCTGGCTTCACCCTATTTACGTCAGTCTAATATATCAGTCTAATAAAACAGTTTTCTTACCCACGCAGTCACTTGATTCTTCAAGTTGCTGAAGTCTGTAGCCAACATAACAATCACATTCGTAACCTGGTGCCGTATTCTGACAATCCTGCTTACAGTCATGGGTTAAAAGCTGACATTCATCAACATCTGTGAAATTAAAAGACTTAAAGTAAATATTTTGCAAAGAAACAATATTTTGATCGCAAATGTCATGATCAGCTTTGGTTAGATTTGACCACCTTCACAAAATAATGTCAAAGTTTGGAATATGTTGTTTAAATAGATCTAATAGCGTGATAGGTGTCATGCAGACGAGGGGCTTAATTACCGGTACTCATTAAATAGGTCTGTGTCATAGAGGTGTTATAATGACCCTATACAAATTAGCGTTAAAATAAACATTTTATGAATACAGACCCCAACATTTTGCCCCATTGCCATCGAATCCCATGGGACATTCTGAACACGTTGCATCTTCGGCAGGTGGAGAGTTGTCTACACACGTAACGCCCGGATAGCAATAGTTTTCGGAGCATGCGTCGTATACGTTCCCGCAATCAGAACCAATGTAGCCAGGCGGGCAGTCACACTCGACAAGCTTTGGATTGGAAAACAAGATTGAAAAATGGAATATTTTAGGTAAAATGTTATCATTTAATTTATCTCGTCACTTAAAAATTATCTCATCCCTTAAAAATATAATAGAAGTCCTACATAATACTTCAGGCTTACTGTAACATAATCAAGCTTTAAATTAGTACAATAATATCTACTTTTCAGGACCACCACAATTACTTATAGGGCAACAACTGGAAGTTAATTGGATTATCTCTGATTTGAATTCACATTACATTTTCCAAAGAGGCATATTAAACATCTCTACAATCATCATGTGACAATTTGAGCCGCTTCATACAATTTTACATTAGTTTATTAAATAGATAATTAATAATTTTAAAAGTGAACAATCTTACAGCAATTTTATCAGCAGTGACATTAGATTCAGGCCTCTGTTGATCATAATTACAAATTCCACCGTTTTTGCATTCACATACGAAGACGATCGACTGAAGAGCAACCGTTGCAGAGCGTTCATCACTGGCGATAATTGTAATTTGCGCCATTGAAGTGTTTAGTGGTGTCCACGTAAACAAACCAGCTGGCATAAACAAATAATAACATGCCATTATTATATAACATACGTTAACAATATTCAACTACGAAAAAGTATACCCGGAAATATATAGTATAGTGTGAACGATACGTAAGCATTATATTTTATACATGAATTTTGAAAGGGCACAGCCAAAAGTACACTTGAACAAAAATCGTCAGATTATGCAACAAACAAATTACATAGTAAATGAATTGTTAAATATAGTTAAAAATGCGAACGACGATCAACTACAAGCAATGCAAGTAAACAAGCAGGTAATGTCGTAGGTTGTAATACCAGAATTATAGTATGATAAACTTACAATTCGATTGGATACTTGCATCATTTGTATTCGTTAGCAACGAATACGTTACATTTCCTCCTTCCGGATCTCTAGCAGTGATATTAAGTTTCACTGATTGGTTAACCTGCACCTTTATTTCCTGTGGTCCGTCAATTATGTATGGTGGAAAGTTCTCTGTAACAAAGAAGCGTAAGAAGGAATAGCATCAAATTAAATTAATGAAGATCTTAGTTTATTCCACTCTGTGAATTTGATAGACTCGATGCACATACACTGGGTTATTTTAAATTAAAAAAAAAAAAAAAATAGACAGTATATTATTGTAAAAGATGATGAAGACGATAACAATGCTAAAATTAATACTAATAACAATAAAAATAATAATAATAATTATTGCTGATACTATTAATAAAACCATTCAAATCCGTGGGCGCTATGTACACTGTATATTATATAACTCCCTAGAATGTCATTGCACTTAATTGAATGATTCCAGTAGTTTGGACGTCCTTCTTGTATGTTATTTATATAATGTTCTTCCAAATTTCCAAAATAACATTATGTGTACTTACCAAGTTTTTCAGCGGTATCCTTGTTTACATCGTTTGTTGTCTTCGTATTTTTTGCAATGTCCTCGTTTCCAGTGACAAGTCCGTCTTATAGGCAACTTACGTCCGTCTTACATATATTTGTAAAATTAGCTTGACTCACTGTCGACACAGATGCCAACACTTCGTCTAAGAATATCGGTGTAAACCCTAAATTATTAAATGTGTTCCAGCTTTCCCCTTGTATGTAATAAAACAGGGACGAGTTTTGCGTAGTTCTTCCTACAATCAAAAAATGGAGAGTTTAAATCGAAATGTAATGTTAAACTCCTAAGCCTCCTAACGCGACTGGTGCACATTGGTCGATCGACGACCAACAAATTAGTTTTCGCTCATTATGAGCGCTTGCGTTAACGCCATTAATTTTCGCTGACCGTCGGTTAGGCCTACTTTGAATGGATAGTGTCAAAGAACCGCGTTGGATGCTTACGTCGACGCTACAGATTCAATATTATCTTTATATTGCATAAGTGGTTAGAAGTTCAAATGCGTAATGAAAAGGTATAAAGTATTAATTTCAATACAATTACTGTATATTAAAAGCATTAGAACGTTAGAACAACTTAAAAGTAGATGTGTTCAATTTATAGAACATATAATATTATGTTCCATCATGTTATCGGCGGGTTTACTTATTGCAAGATGTACGGTAAGAAAAAAAAAATGATGCAGTGGCTCTATACTACTAAACCAAATAGGTATAAAAATAAAAATGTGTATATCTCCTTGGATTAACTATATTCCGTTGCTTTATATTCATTAGATGTTAATCCACATATTATATTTGTGAATATAAAATTGATGTCAAGCCTGGTTTCCATAAAATCGCTACACTGTCGCTGCAGTGTGTCAGAG